TTTAAGATGATTTTGAAAACAGAATTAGAGAAGGTAGAATATGTTATCATTTGAATGCATCCTATAATTTGATAAACTAGTATATTTTCTTTTTGTTTATGAACATGTGTACAAAAATAACAACTCTAGCTGAAAATATGATGAAAATCTATAGAGTGATACGATGAAATTATGGCCATATAAACTGATAAAGATGGAGTGTTGAATTTTATTTCTGATTTAATAATATTATTACTTTCACTAAAATACTTTCTATATGCAGAGAGTCAATAGAAAAACCAAATGTATTGAGGAAAACAAAAAGGAGCTGGATGCTATTGTGGTCTTTACCCACTGCATACGATATTTGAAAGATCATCTTCTTGAAGAAATAAATAAAACCCTTGTAACGAAATCGGAAACAAAAATTGAAGTAAAAGACATCACTTTTGTCATCACTGTGCCAGCAATTTGGGATGATACAGCAAAAATGTTCATGAGAAAAGCTGCAGAAGCGGTACGTCTTTCTCTCTCTCTCTCTCTCTCTCTCTCTCTCTCTCTCTCTCTCTCTCTCTCTCTCTCTCTCTCTTGGCATTCCACTGATGTTGCATACTTGGTTCTCGTTGAAAATTTTTGTTGTAACTTTTAAACAATTTTTAGGCCGAAATTCCGAGTGATCAGTTGCTTCTAGCACTGGAACCAGAGGCTGCATCTATTTATTGCCAATATATGCACTTGGAAAATCCGGACAATACGAGGAAAAAAGAAAGTATCAACTCTAAGTACATGGTTCTTGATATTGGAGGTACTTTACACATACATGATTTTAGTTAAAGTTAAAAAAGAATACGAGTGCTGTACGATCAATACAAAAAATTTCGAAATTTAGGACAAATAGATGTATCTCTTAATGAAAGTAACAAATACCAGGTAGAGGCAAAACAATTATTTTTACTGTCTTTTGGAATAATGATAAACAAATGCAATTCTTTAATAGACTACGTAGATAACGAATGGTATTCAAGCTCAAAGACCATTTAAAATTCAAGAATCAGCAGCAGAGTATACATGAACCTCTATGAACATCAGAAGTCAGATCATGTGCCATGGAGGAGTGAGCATCACATTTCGAACGCTCACACCCGCCGTGTGCTGCTTGTCGTGTTGGAAAAAAATTGAAAAATCCGTTGGCAATTCAGTGTGATAATTATGACCTAACAATAGGGTTGTATTTGCTGACAAGGTCATTCTATAGATCATAACACTTGTAAAATGATAAATTCAGATAACTGTAAGTTGATATTCTTGTTTCATCAACTTGTTTGTTAAATGCTTGGTTTGTTTTAGAAATTGTTCGTACGTATAGCATACTCTTGTGTATGAAATCAACTGAGAGACATAAGCCCGTATACGTAGTTATGTAGGTGATAAAGGTACCGGTATAAATTGCTTCTTCAATAAGAGGTGTTAAAGATTGAAAAGTTAAAGTCATTGCGTTTATCATAAATTTAAAGCTTTGTTACTTTATACAATTTGGAACATAATTCAATGTACAAGTTTTTGAATAAATACTGCTTCATATGTATACAGAATTTATTTGGTCTGCTAATGGCGGGGTGAAATAGGTACGCATGGGAATTCAAACATATTGTCTCCAAAACACAAAATTCTAGATATGGTCAATCAGAAACTCAAGCATCTTTCTAATATGAACTTCATATTACATGTACTTTTATGTACAATCAGAATTTTTATAAAATGATTCTCCAAACGTCAAGTCACATGATACAAGTATTTTTTTAAAGGTGGAACAGCAGATATTACAATACACCAGCTAGAAAATCAAAAATTGGTAGAACTAATTCCGGCAACCGGCGGGGCATGGGGAGGCACATGTGTAGATAAAGCGTTCCACAATTTTCTGGAGAACATTTTGGGTGATGAGGTCATGGAGAAGTTTTCGTCGGATATAGATTACAAAGATGACTATTTCACATTCTGGCAAGGTTTTGAGACCAAGAAAAGAAACAAAATAGGAACAGCTGTTAGTGACAATGTTCATATAAGGCTTCCATTGGGATTAGAGGATATTGTTAAAGAAGTTTTTAACTATAAGCATATGAAAAGGGGCGAACCAATAAAACGATGTATTGAAAAGTCTATATACAATGGCAAAATAGAATACAAAGAAGGAGTGATATGGATGCCATCTGCAATTTTCAAAGAAATGTTTTATCCAACAATTAGGAACATCACAACTCATCTGGAAGGTCTTTTCAAAAAAGAAAGTGGCAAAAATGTTAACATATTACTGATGGTTGGTGGATTTGCTGAGAACGAGTTATTGCAATCTGAAATGAAAGAGAAGTTTCGGGGAAAGCGTTTGGTCATACCCGAGCAAGCAGATTTGGCTGTTCTGAAGGGAGCGGTATATTTTGGTCATATTCCAGACGCTATTTCTAAACGGGTTGCTAGGTATACCTATGGCATTCAAACTTGGCCGAAATTCGACCAATTCAAACACGATTTAAAGAAAAAAGAGATGGTTTCCGGAGAAGAAAGATGTAGAGATGTCTTTTTAAAATTTATTTCCAAAGGAGATCGTATTGAACCAGGCATGAAGAAGTCAAACATTTTCCAATCGCTGCAAAATGAAAAGAGGAAGTTAGAGTGTGGGGTATTTATATCGAATTCTGAAGACCCTACATATATTGATGAAAGAGGATGCTGCAAATTAGGAACATTAGAAATTCCAATGGGCGATCGAAGTGAAACAACTCAAATTGAAGAATCTATTATTTTTGGAGAAACGGAAATTCGCGTGGAAGCCTGTAACTTGACTACTAGAGACCGATACGAGGTGAAATTTGATTTGCTGGCTGAGGATATTGAGATGCCCGATAGCAGGACTTGGAGTGTGCACTAAATTTTTTTAATCGAGTACATAAATTCAAACTGTTTTCCTCGTGACCTGTTTAATATATCTGAAATGTATCTTTCAAAGATCTACAGAATGTGCCAAAAATATAAATCGATGACGAACATTTTCAATATTCATACATTAGGTTGAATTGTTTTGAAATTGTTGTTAATGTATTTTTGTCCAAAAATATAAATCGATGACAATCATTTTCAATATTCATACATTATGTTGAATTCTTACAAAATTTGTTAGTATTTTTTCCAGATTGATTCTATTGGTAGCTAGTCCCTCAAAATCACTGTAGAATATAACTTCTTAAAAAGTAATCAAACACTAGGAAAAAAAGAATAATATTTCATTCATTAAATGTTTTTTATTTGTATCTACTTGTTGTGTCTTCCAATTTTTTACGCTATCAGGAATTTATGTTAATAGACTATTCTTGTCTCTAGGAATATACTAGATTTATTAAGAATGATATAGTTTCTTTGAAAATATATGTATGCTAAATTTATCTATAGCAACCTCTAACCCATTGCTAAGTGTAAATTAATTAGTAAGTTTAAATTTTCTATATGTATATTTGGGAGAATTAAGGTTGAAGAGTTACCCTGGACATATTTTCCACGAAAGAGGGACATTTTGAGTTTCAGGAACACGGTTTAGAATCACCTAATCATTTTCTATTGAAATACGATATTGAATATTTAATAATTCTTTTGTAGAACAATATATACTTAGGCTATATTTTTTTCAACTTTTGAAAAATAATGTCGGAAACAAATATATTATAAGGGAAAAGAGAATATAAAAGCACTAAAAAAACCTTTTTGAAACAATATATAGCTCTACTGCTTTGTGCTTTTAAATACACGAGGTAAATTAAAGAAAACCGTACCAAGCCTAGTAAGACTCTTTTGTGATTTTAATTCCAGAACTTTGCTCTAGCTTAATGTTTTCTGAATTGAATGGAAAAATAAAGAACATTTCTAGATATAATTTTTTTTACCCCTCTTCAAATAGTACGATTATGTACGATGAGGTCAATATAAAAACTAATAATTAATACATAAACTGCTATCACTGTCGTGTACAATGTTATTTTCCTCAATTTGTATTTTTAAAAAAAATTATACCTCTATGAAAGTCTATTTAAAGATTACAATTCTCATTAAGTTTTGGTTTTCAATTATCAAGGTAGTACGAACGTTTGAGGCAGAGTTATAATCTTTTAAAGGTACTTGGACACAGATTTGAAGTTAATATTTTTTCTATAATATTACGACTTATATATTTTAATAGCATTTCACACAAAAATTAATTAAAAATCTTATTTCGTTTAAAAGTTATTAAAATTTTAATTTTTTGGCGCGTTTGATTGACACATCTTTGCACTTTCACAAATTTTAACTTTTTTCTTAATCCTTAGAAAAACTGACATTCTTGTTGTTTATTAATGAAAAATATTAATCCTATAATCCAGAAAATTCAGAGTAGACATGTTCGAAAGCAAAACAAACACACAATATATTGTCAGTCCGTGTAGTTGTTGTGAGCAGACTTTGGCGTTTAAACGCACCCAGTGAATCAAAACACCAAACAATAACAAAGCTTTCGCGCTGTTGACAAAAACTGTGTACATAACACGAGTGTGCTCGATTTGCTAAACTCTGTACACAACGGAATGACAATACTTGTGAAGGAGTTTTGCTTTCTAACATTTTTACTCTAAATAAAATTATTTTCCGGATTTAAGTTTTAATGTTTCTCATTAATACACAACAAAATTGCCACTTTTCCTAAGGATTAAGAATACAGTTAAAATTTGTGAAAGTGAAAGGATGTGTCAATCAAACCCGCCAAAAAATTAAAAGTTTAAATAACTTTTAAATGAAATAAGATTTTAAATAAATTTTTGAGTGAAACGCTATTAAAATATATAATTCTTGATATCATACAGAAAAAAATAACTTCAAATCTGTGTCCAAGTACCTTTAAAACAATTTAACACCGTTTGGGCCTCTGTATTCTTTGACATGATAATGTCACAAACGGGCAGTCATTTTATGTTAAAACGAAAGTAACAAAGTGCAAAAATAAAATGGCACAGGAAAGAAAATCATCATCGACCCGGCTTTTAGTGGCAGCAATTGACTTTGGAACAACGTATTCGGGCTACGCTTACTCCTTCAAATCGGACTGTACAAAGATTCTTATGAATAAATGGGAGGGTGGCCAACTGACCTCCTATAAAACACCGACATCTCTCTTATTGAATCCAGACAAGTCTTTCAATTCCTTTGGTTTTGAAGCGGAAAAGATTTATTCTGATGTTGCAACAGATGGAGAGGACGATGAAGGTTACACTTGCAAAGATTATTATTTCTTTCAGCGATTCAAAATGATTTTGAAAACCACTCTAACAAAGGTTAGTATACTGTGGGTTACTTATTGTTCCCCCACTTTTGCAAAAGCAAGGTGACATTAATTTCATTCGTCTATCCGTCCGCCAGTCTGTCCGTCTGTGACAAAAACAGTAACCTTGGTCATATCTTTTGAATGAGAAGAGCTAGGACATGTGTTTTACCTGTGACAAGACCTTTCTAAATTAAACACTATGATTGTTGACCCCATGACCATAAAGTTTTACCTGCCTTTCAAAACCTTTTACTTTAGTCATAACTTTTGAATGAGAAGAGATAAGGTGGGGCTTTCACAATTCACATGTGTATAACCTGAAATGACCTTTTAAAATATTTTATGATTTTTTTTTTAGCTCATGACCATTAAACCTTGGTGTTTGGCCTATTTTTTGTAATTGTTATTGTTTCCTTCCTAATAACTTTTGATTGAGAATAGATAGGTCTTTATATATGACACTTGCATTGCCCGTGGTAAGATATTTCCGAGCGTGCTATGATTTATGATTTTTTACTTCTTAACTTTGACTTTCATGTTTGACCTAATTTTATAAAAATCAACTTTGAAGATACATAAAGATTGAATGACATATGCAAGGGTATTCATAACAAAAATACTTATCCTTAACTATAAATATTTTACTAAAAGCTCTCTTCACTGATAACTTTGACCCTTTGATTTACTGAAGTGATAACTATGAAAACTTTGATTTGCCATAGTGATCACTGTGAAAACTTTAATTTACAATGGTAAAAACTTTGAATGACTATAGTGATAACTTTAAAAACATTGATTTACTTTTATAGTGATAACTATGACACTATATAGTGATCACTTTGAAAATGTTGATTTAATATAGTGTTCACTTAAAGACTTTAATATACTCTAGTAAACTATATTTAAAGATATGTATGTCGTGTTAAACAGTATTTTTGCACAGCTGAAACCGAACAAAAATTGCTGAAGTATGATAAGCTATCAAAAATGAAGCATTCTTGCAAATTCGACGAAAAATTATTCGGTATTAACAAAGTACTGGTCGGGAAAAGAACACGAGATTTTCATGCATATTTATAAAGGACTGACGTTTATCCTGGATCTGCGCATGTGCGCGGGAAAAGCATCGCGAGAATCAGGTCAAGGATTTTTTTTTGTGATGTCTGTTCAGTGAGAAACCAATATAACTGACAAATCGACCAATCAGCTCAATGAGTTGCATTTAATGCATGGGTTACTACATAAAGTACTACATGTGTTTTTCGAAAAGGCCAGTTTTTTAAATCGCTCTCGGAAAAACTTGATGCATTTTCCCAAGTATTTACACGTCTAATGCATTATGTACATTATTTTCTACTAATCCCATGCTCATATTTGCATACAAATGATTAACAATGATAAAAAAGTTTCCCCAACTCCATTGTACAGGTCCGTTTGTTTAGAGTTTCCCCGTGCTGTACTGCCAGTGAAAAGACAATTGCACGTGATTATTCCTCGGTACAAAAACCAACCAACTCTGAGATGTGCTCACGTATTGACAATCCCTAACTCACGTGTTTGTAGTAAAAACGTAGTAGACCATCATGCTTTTCGGTTCATTCACGAGATTGGACCATTGTTTGCTGTGAGCATGCGAGACCACGTGATCACGAATATTTTGATAAGAGGCGGTTTATTATCCGATTCGGAGAGAAAATAATTTTTACCAATTGATTTTTCATAACTTTTAAAAGTGATGGAGTGGAATTGTCTTATTTGCAGAAAGTATATAACTTATATAACTTGATGAGACACCACATATATCTATTATATATATATATATATATATATATATATATATATATATATATATATATATATATATATATATATATATATATAATAACATCTTTCCCACCAAAACATCGAAAGCAGGGGACCACGTACAACTATTTGAATTTGCTTATTTCAATTAATTGTACTTTGTACCTTGGGATCAAAGACACTATGACCTAGCCCGTTTCGTTAACAAAATAAATATTAATGATCCCTCAGATACAATGCAAATGTATCGAATACAAATGAAAAAAAATTATCGAATACAAGTGAGAAATTATCGAATACAATTAAGTGGGTAATTATCGAATACAGGTTAGAATTATCAAATAAAAATAAGAAGTTACCGAATATAAGTAAAAAAGAAATATACAAAACAAATGAGAAATGATCGAATACAATTTGGTGGGTAATTATCGAATACAGGTTAGAATTATCTAATATAAATAAGAAATTACCGAATATATTAAGTAAAAAAAAATATACCAAACAAATGAAAAATAATGCAATACAATTGGAAAAGATCGCATATTGCTATGTTTGTCATGCATTGCCATATGTAAGTAAATTTAATTTCTATTTAATATTAGAGAATTCATCGAGAAACAATGCACAAAGACAAAGACGGACGAGAAATTGAAGTGATGCAAATATTTACCCATTCTATCAAATATCTAAAAGACCATCTTATGGGAACTATAGAAAAAAGTACCATTGGCAAGAAGTTAAGTGTGAATGACATTGACTTTGTACTCACTGTACCAGCAATATGGGACGACACGGCAAAAATGTTCATGAGAGAGGCCGCTGTAAATGTAAGTCTGATTGAGCGTTTTCAATATAATTGTTACTTTGCAATTTGTCTAAATAATGGGGAACTCTTCTCGGTTTGCAGGCTGGATTACCAGACAAACAATTGCAAATTGCTTTAGAACCTGAGACAGCATCTATTTATTGCCAACTGAAGCATGTTTATAGTGTTGAACAGGACGAGGAATCATGGGCAAAGGAATCAGGCATGAAATATATGGTTATTGATCTTGGAGGTAAGCCCTCACGATCAAAGAAATTTATAACCATTAATATGGGTTACTTGATTATATAGACGAACTTAGGCATCTTTTAAATAATGTTTGCTCCTATCCTCCGAGTTAGTGTAAATAAAAATAGTTCGGTGAGTAAGGAGATTTTTTTAATAGAAATTTCTAATTATATATTAACAGAAAATCCATAAATATAAAAAAGTTCTTTCCTGGAGGTTAAAAAAGTTATAAAACGGGGCATTTTTAGGCATTTGGTCGGGGGATGGCCTTATGCTTTTTGTAGTGTGGTATATTAATTTTTATTTCCTAAAAATATTTTTATCGATTTAAATTTCCTAAAATTATACTGGAATTACGTTGTTTCAAAGCTTCTCTGATATACATGTATATGTATTTTGCTCTCTAATTTATGGCTGCTTCACAAGATTGACATACAAAGTACAACCGAGTCATTTAATTCTCCTTTTAACAATTACACGACTAAGAGATTTACATCAAATCCTCCCAAACAATAGCATACAAGCATTTGATCAGAGAATTGGTCAGTATTCTGATGAACACCAATCTTTAGAATTTGTTACCAAAATACATCTTTAATTAATTAAACACACAATGACTCTGGCTCTCTAATAGAATGATTTGATTTCTTTTTATGAAAAATGCTTCCAATTTAGGTGGAACTGCTGATATAACTGTACATCAGCTTCAAGAAAATGGGACTTTGGCAGAAGTGGTACCAGCAAGTGGTGGAGATTGGGGCGGGACGTGTGTTGATGAGGCCTACAGGAATCTGCTAGCGGACATTTTTGGAGAAGATGTGATGGAGACATTCGATGGGGAGTTGGATTATATCATAGACTATATAGAATTCTGGCAAAATTTTGAAATAAAAAAAAGAGAACCACTTAGGACTAAGTTGTCAGAATTGGTGCATCTTACGATACCTATCGCTTTTACTGAAATAGCCAAAAAGAAATTAGGCAAAAAAGGGGGACATGATGCAATTATGAATGCGCTTATACGGGAATCAAAACAGAGAAATGAAAATTTAATCTGTAGACAAGGAAAAATTGTGATGCCCATTGAGTTCTACACGAAATTATTTACCACAACGATTGATAAACTCATCAAACATTTGTCTCAGATGTTCAGAGAGGAAGTGGGGCCGGATGTGGATGTCATCTTGTTGGTTGGTGGTTTCTCTGAGTGCGAACTGGTACAAGAAAAACTCAGGCAAAATTTTGGAAATAAGCGTTTGGTGATTCCTTATGAAGCAGGCCTTGCTGTTCTGAAGGGGGCAGTTCTTTTTGGTCACCACAAGGATTTGATCTCACGTCGAGTAGCGAGATATACATATGGAATTCAAACGTGGCCAAAATTCGACAAAACAAGACATTCTCTATATAAAAAGCAGAAGATAAACGGCGAGGACAGATGTCGGGATGTATTCTTGAAATTTGTTTCCAAGGGTGATCCCATAGAACCTGGTCTTAAGAAATCTTATATTTTCCAAACTCTCAAACAAGGAGAAAAAATACTCGAGTGCGGAGTCTTCATCTCCAACAAAAAGAATCCAGAGTACGTTGACGAAGAAGGCTGTTTTAGACTTGGGACTCTTGAAGTTCCATTGACAAATTCAGAACTTAGGACTACTATGGAGATTGAGGAGTCCATCATTTTTGGTGAGACAGAAATAAGAGTCACAGCGTGCAACTTTGCTACTGGCAAAGAACATGAAATCGTTTTCGATCTTCTCTCACCAAAAATCAAAATACCCAATAGTAAAAGTTAATATAGGTAAAAGATCGATTAACATTTTTCGACATTATGAACTCTATTTCTATATGTATTTATAATATATTCATGTTTTGCAAAATGTTTGAAATTCTGTTGTGCATCGGGTTGAACATTAGAGTAAACATTTTGATAATTTTTATCAAGATCGCTAAACTCAAAAGATATAAAGATATAATTATGAAGTATAGCTAATTACAAATATAACGCATAATACTTGAAATGATCATATTTTACATTTATATGTATCAGCGAATCATATCATAAAGATGTTTATTCAATATAATAAGAGCATTTTAAAAAATTCTGACTTCTTTCTCTTTATTTAATCAATCCATAACTGGTAAAACACAAGTAAACCCAAGTAGAATGCAGACTATATAATTATATCATATTCCGTGGAAATGGCATTTTCACGAAGCGCATCTGACCGAATTGTCTTGTCATACAAAATGTCAGTATAATAGGCGAAATTTTCTATGGTCTCATATCAGAAGCAGAAGAGCTAAGTATACAATTAATTGTAATCGAATTGTTGTGTAAATGAAAGTTTGTCAGCCAGTATACCTGTATTAATAGGATGAAATATATGGAGATAACGAACAGTATTCAAATCCAAAAGTTCAGTAAACAGTACAATAATATGAGTAAAGCAAACTCGCACCTCCCATACATCAGAAGGGGGATCAGGTCCTATGAAGGAGTTACTATTTCCTGCCGATTGTGCCATAACAAACAGTATTCAAGCTCAACAATTCATTATTTTCCGATCATGACAAGGAGCACATGGCAGGAGTAACCGGTCGGCAGGGGATGCCCACTCCTCCATGGCACCCGATCCCACCTCTTAAGTTTTGGAGGTCAGTGTTTGCACTGCTCCTATTTTGTATTGTTTTATGGCCTTTTGATCCTGATTTCTGTTCGTTATCTCCATATGTTTTATTTTATATGTACAATGCAATTTGGAGCAGAGGAAACACGGACGAGGTGGAATCAGGTTCCATGGATGAGTGCGCATCAAACATACATGAAATTGTTGATAATGAGTTTAAAGACTCAAAAATGAGACCAAGTTTATCTGGAATGAATCAAGAATATATTATTTTACAGACATTTGTACTAAATAGAACACTTTAATTACATCTTGAAAACACAAGGGAGATAATGTATTTTCTTTCATTATAATTTATTAATTGGGTTTTCTTCATTAAACATGTGTATTTATACCTCAACAACACGAAGTTTGCTACGGTACAGCTAGTATAACAATAAAAAGCGTGAAGATTTATCTTGGGGTGGGAAAAGCCAGGATTAAAAGGAAAAGTCAAGATTATAGTAGGAAAATCTAATTAACTCTGTTGAAAAAATCAATACTAAAGATTGAAGATGGAATTACTTACTTTAAAGTTGCATTTTCGAACTCTTCATGCAGCCTGCTTTGTACGGCCAAGAAGAATATAATTTTAATTGTTATGTTATTCATGATCTTTATATTTAAATGTTTCTAACGCACAGGTTCCACCATACGTAGAAAAAATTAAATCGAAAGTAGGAATTAAAAAAGAGAAAAAGAAACAGAATGCGAAACAAAACATGGGCGAATCTAACAAGGAAAGAAAGTCGAAGGCTGGTCGTATGCTGGTAGCCGCCATCGATTTTGGAACCACTTATTCTGGTTATGCCTACTCATTCAAAGACAACTGGGCAAAAGTTCTTACTAACAACTGGTCTGGAGGGGAACAATTGTCGTACAAGGCTCCCACTGCGCTTTTACTCAAACCTGATAAATCCTTCAAGGCCTTTGGGTTTGAGGCAGAAAACTGCTATGCTAATCTGACTACAGAAGAGGATGGCACTTGCAAAGATTATTACTTTTTCCAACGGTTCAAGTTGATTCTAAAAACAGAACTGGAAGAGGTATGAACAATCTCAATTTTAATTTTACCACCAACAATACACCCTGTATATCATAGTTGATGAAGGTATATTGCTGCATAAGTAAAGGATGTACATAATAATTAATGTAATGATTCATGCGTCATATATAACTTTTAAATTTGTCAAATTTGAATTAAAAAAAAAATTCAATTATGTTTGTTTTCTAATTTTATTTTTACTCAGTGTCATATTTAACAGTAAAGAAATGATGATTACTTATTTTTGGTTTTTGTTAAAAGCGTGTTCACAGAACAACACAATGTAAGGATATACGTGGGAAAACTGTGGATGGAATGTTGGTATTCACGCATTCGATGGAATATTTGAAAAATCATATGCTGAAGGCATTAAACAAATCTCATGCATTCGAAATCAAGATCACAGACATCGACTTCGTTATAACAGTGCCAGCAATATGGGACGACACGGCTAAAATGTTTATGAGAGAAGCTGCTGAAAAGGTAATAATTATATATTTCTTTTTTGTTGAATATCTCGAATATTTTTTCTTAGTCCCGGGTAAAAATCCCCGAATAGTCATTACAGCAGTTGATGCAATCAATCAGTATAAAAAAAGAGCAAAATTGATTATTGTAAATTGAACTAAAAGAAACTTTATTTAAGGAAATAAAAGCTATGGGTTTTTTGATTTTTTATTATAATTATTATTTCATTTAATTATTTTTGCAAAATAAAAATCATGTAAATGTATATAAAAAGGGTTTTTGTTCATATAATAAGGCGAAAACACAAACTGACATACAATGTAGTTGTAAACACGTGAAGTGATCCTACACACATACAGTTCCAATATCGTATTTTCTTCATATAACCTGAAATATACGTATATACACATACTTCACAGTTTACCTCTTAAGTACCTATATATGTAAATGTTGAAAAGAGATGTAAATTTGCTGCTACATTTATAAAAATGTTTTGCGATAACGTTTCACTGTAGGCCGGGATACCTGGAAACCAGCTACTATTTGCCTTGGAACCTGAGGCCGCGTCTATCTACTGTCAGTTGATGTATCTGGAACCTCAGAACGATTCCAGCTTTCGTATCACAGAAACAGACACTGATGCAAAGTATATGGTTGTGGATCTTGGAGGTAATCAAAAGATAATAAAAGCGAGGAGAGGTTTTTTAAAATCATGCTTAGATATTATATACTAAGTATATGAAATTCTTTATTGATACCACATGTTACTTTTATCAAGTTTGTAATCTCTTTGGTTTTATTTCAAATAGTTTTTTCAACTACATCAGTTTTTTTTTATCTATTAAGTTGTTCAATAATTGTTATCAATATTAGTGGTCAAAGACTCCTAAAAACTATTTTCACCTTTAGGTGGAACAGCAGATATCACCTTACATCAACTTCAGAAGACAGGTACAATCGTGGAATTGACCCCAGCGTCCGGAGGACTATGGGGTGGAACACGTATAGATAAAGCTTTTGAGGGTTTTCTTCAAGATTTATTTGGCAAAACTTCGATGGAAAAATTTCAAACTGAGGATGATTATGCCGAAGATTATTTTGACTTTTGGCAGGGATTTGAGGTCAAAAAAAGAGGATTTGATTTTGACAAGGAGACAGAAAATGTCCATATACGTATTCCAATGGGATTGACAAACATCGCGAAAAAAGTCCACAGTGAGCGAGATGTCAATAAAATAATAGAAAAATCGAAATTGAAAGGAAAGGGAATCAGATTTGAAGCTGGAAAAATACACATGCAAACAACAATAATGAAGAAAATTTTTCAATCAACTGTAGATGATATTGTTAAACATCTTAGAACACTCATCGAAAACGCTGGAAAAGACTTAAGAGTGATTCTAATGGTAGGGGGGTTTTCAGAATGTTCTCTTGTTCAAAACTGTGTTCGTCAAACATTTGAAATCAAGGACAAACGTCGGGTTATAACACCAAATCAATGTGGACTGGCGGTTTTAAAAGGTGCAGTGTATTTCGGACATCATCCAGAATTGATATCGGAGCGTGTAGCAAGATACACCTACGGGATCCAAATATGGCCAAAATTTATCCAAGGAGAACATAAAGAAGCAAAGCGGGATGTCAGAGGTTCCGAAGACAGGTGTAAAGACGTATTCTTTAAGTTCGTTACCAAGGGAGACCGATTAAAAGCAGGATTCATTAAAAGTCACATTTTCAGGGCATTGAAATCAGCCGATGGTGACCTAGAATGTGGCATTTTCATCTCTAACAAAGAAAATCCTAAATATGTTGACGAGGATGGTTGTGAAAAACTAGGAGTCCTAAAAATTGACGTAGAAAGAGGGACAGAAGTCGAGGAGTCTCTAATTTTTGGACACACAGAGCTACATGCAAAGGCCTGTAACTGCTCAACGAAAAAGGAATACAGCGTCACTTTTGATTTGTTGTCTGAGAAAATCAAATATCCTTCAAAAACTAAAACCTAGACACAAGGATGTCTGAAAGCTTGCTGTGATAAGTTCGACAAGAATAGAATAAGCATTATCATTAGACCCCGTACATTTAAAGCGTAATTACAACAAAATTTCGAATTTTAAGTTGTTTTTCCTATACTTTAAAGCCACTTGGTCCGATTCTAATCGCTAAAAATATATTTCCGTTTTTCTTCTTGAAAAATAATTGTACATAAATTGTTTCAACTTTTGTCTTTTTTCCTTTAAAAGATATCAAAATTCAAAAGTTAAAAAATTGTTAGGTCACACAAAAAATAATCCTATGTTGATCAATGTTGATTTCGCGTGAAATCACCTTCGAAAAATTAAATTTATCGCTTAAATGTTTATCTCATGAAGAACAAACCCGAGCATTTTTTTTCACAACAAAGTACATATATATTACCTGTACACGGACAATATTTTAGCTCCTTTAAAAAATCATTTAAAATATCTGATTTTCCTTTATTCTTTTAATATGCATGTTAATATAAAAATTACTATGGATTATATTCAATTAATCTCTTAATTTTGAAAAGATGTATTATGACTAAGGCTTCTACTAATAAAGAAAAAAAATACTCGGGTTTGAATTATCTTCATTATTAGATATATCCGATAAACTTATTTTTTTCAAAATTGACTTCACGACAGATCTGAACTTTCGCCAGGAACTACTGTGTGTCAATAAGGTTTTTAATCTGCGTTTTCCATGTAAGGATTGTTGTAATAAACTTTTAAATCAATCTTATAATTTATTTTTATATATTATCTATGTAATGACGTACTTTTATTGTGTAAGTTAATATGTGCCTGTTTCGGGTTAAGCGACTTTAAACATAATTCACTGAATAATACAATAAGCATTGGGCACTAGGAAAGGCCTATGAACACCATCTCCTTGTATAATAGGTCAAGATTCAATAGTCAGAAAGAGAAAGGACGTTCTAAGTATTTAAGTACTTGTGTCCAATCCTTTTGTTGTAACATCTTAACAATAAAATATGTTCAAACCAGTCAGTAATTATACATGTACATGATAATAAAAGATTATAATGAAAAATAAAGATTCACAATTAAGTATTATTCATTAATATTATATTAAATTTAAAAAAAGGTGACAACCTCCTAACTGAATTCAAACTATTTACACACTGTTCCAGCATAATACACTAATAACAAATATTTAGAAAATATGTATGATTGGATATCTGATAATAATGATTTTTAAAATATGCATTAAGATTTCTAGCATTGTTTTTCCTTTGTGTTTTATAACGCCCAGATAGTTATTTAATAATTTATTTACAATATTTTCTAGCCATATATTCATTTAATTTTTTTACTGTAGTTCTTTGCACATTAAATAAATCCTTCAGTCACTCATCCAGGGGTTGATATTATCCAAAGTTTTTATAGCTTTGATTATTACCTCTGACTAACTATGCAATTATATTTTGATATATTAGTATAACATTTTATTAAGTATTACATTGTTTTATGATTCATTCTCTATTTTTGCAGTTAATGTTGTCTTGAATGATTAAACATTTGTTACATTAAAAGTTCAAATCTGAAGTGTGCTCCTTTATGACCGAGAAAACGGGAAAAAAATCTTAGTCAATCATTGATGTGGAAATAATGGTAAAACAAAATGAAAAAAGAAAACATCAGTCAATATTCGACTTAACTATAGAATATTTACATCCACTGAAGATTTTCTCCTTTATTTCTTAAGAAACCCCATTGCGTTCATCCCTGCATAAACTACAATAGGCATGTCGCCTGTTCAGATTTCTTAATCAGTGGCTGTTCCATCAACATGATCAATGAAACGTATAAAGACGTTCGCATCATTAATACAATAATTAATCTTTTTAATCCTACTTTAATTGATTATTTAAACAGATATAAATATATAAACAATAAAATGTCTTTATTTGTTTGTTATTACTGGTATGAACGGTCGCAGCTATTGCAGAAAAATTTACATAACCCGCTTACGCGGGTTATGTATTTTTTCTGCAACAGCTGCTTCCGTTCATTCCAGTAACAACAAACAAAGAAAGCATTTTATTGTTTAATTGAATATTATACTGGGGTGCGTATGCTACATATACTTAAGTCATGTTGCTACATGTACATAAATAAGAGAAGTTGACAATAGAACAATTAAATTGATGTCTGTACGTTTTTAAGACAATCTACTGAAAAAGCAAATGAAAACGATTTGTCAGCTGACTCGGCGGTGTCTTTTATTTCTAGTTCAAATGGAAGAAGGATATGGAAATAACGAACAGTATTCAATCTCAACGTCCATTAAACAAATATACAAAATAAGAGCAGAGCAAACACGGACCTCCGAAACATCAGAGGTGGGATCAGGTGCCATGGAGGAGTGAGCATCCCCTGCCGACCGGTCACACCCGCCGTGTGCTCGTTGTCATAATCAGGAAATAACGGAAAAAATCCGTGGTCAATTCAGTGTATAAATAATGGACTAACAATTGGTATGAAAAACGTCAGTCAGCATTTCATTCAATGATAAATTGTATTTGCTGACAAGGTCATTGTATCGACCATAGAATTTACGAAATGATGACTTTAAACGAGACTGTTGATATTCTTGTTTCATCAACTTGCTTGTCAATAATTTACCTCGTTTAAGAAATTGTTCATACGTAGAGCATGCTCTTGCGTATCGAATCAACTGAGATATAAATACTCCGTATGCAGGTGATGAAGGTATATTGCTGCATAAGTAAGGGAAGTTGACGATAGAAAAGTTAAAGTCATCACGTTTATCATATAGCTTGGTTGTTAGATTACCATTAGTGTCTTTTTCAAGTAAAATATCCAAGTATGAAGCAGAAGTGTCGGACTCTGTGGTATCTTTTATCTCAAGCTCACCAGGATATATCGTGTCGACGTAGGAATGAAAATTATCATTATTAATTGACAATACGTCGTCGATATATCTAAATGTCGAGTTGAAGGCCACAGCAAGTGTTTTCTTCTTTTCACGTAAAAGATTTTGCATAAATTTTGCTTCATATGAATATAAAAATAGGTCTGCTAATAACGGAGCGCAATTTGTACCCATGGGAATTCCAATAGATTGTTGGAATACCTGGTCTCCAAAACCCACGTAGATATTGTCAATCAGAAACTCAAGCATCTTCTTGATGTCAACTTCAGAGTACTTATGTGTGCAATCAGAATCTGTTTTAACAAAATATAATTTTTCAAATGACCAATGACGAGGTAAGTAAACTTACGAGTTCCGAATAAGTATCGAATAAATCAAGAAATGAAAATGAATAACTTTAATTGATAAAACGTCATCCACATATACATGTATCTAAATGTAAAAATGTAAAATTGAGGTTCACTGAGCAAGAGATTTTTCGTTTGAAAAGGATGTTATTTTTAATAAATTCTGTTATAGGTTGATAGGGGAACATTTTTTCATCACTTTAAACAGGTCTAGAATTTCTTAAAGAATGAAACTTTAATTCAACAATTATATATAGACCTAAACAAAAACTAATTAAGATGATATCTCATGATTTCTTGAAAATATTTGTTTCATTAGTCCTTATGAAGTCTAGAATATGTTGTCCGTGGTCCGTTCAACAACGATTTAAATACACATGATAATAGTTACGAGGTTCTATATTTAATATTTACCTTTGAGACATGTTTACATTTATAAACCGAAAGTAGATTTGTAAAATGGCCGATAAATCCAAATTTCGGGAATCAGTAAAGGAAAAGCCCTCAAAATCTTCTAAACTATTCGTGGTTGCTATAGACTTCGGAACTGCTTTCTCAGGATATGCTTACTCATCAAGGGCAGAATGGACTAAAGTTTACGCAAATAAATGGGCCGGGGGAGAGCAAATATCCTATAAGGCCCCCAGTGCACTTCTCCTCAACCCAGATGAATCATTTCATTCTTTTGGATTTGACGCCGTGAAAAATTATGCTTCTTTTGTTGCTGATGAAGATTGTCAGGACTATCTTTTTTTCCATCGCTTCAAAATGATACTGAAGACAAGCTTAGAGAAGGTAAACATCCCCAAATCTACCTTAAGGTCAGACGATACGTTCCCTAACTTTCTGTTTCGTACTGTACGTTTGTATCAAGCGTATCTCATTGCATATCGTTCAAAATGTATTTTAGCGTGTTTGGTTTTGTCCACTTTACTATATTTGAATATATATTGGTTGCTGCGTCATTTGTTTAACGAATAACTATCTACATGTTTTGTTTCATGATGTGATCAACCGATTGGTTTGCGTTATAATTTGCATAAAATTATCACGCAAGTTAATCGATTGATCATCGTCATAAAAACTAAAAATCTGACAGTTATTCCTTATATTTACATTTCCTTGATTCCGCAAATTCACATGCTACAGGTCTCGCTTCTGTCTCTATTTGGCCCGCCTGCACGTGATATAAAATTTTTTAACTGCGCCTATCGACATGATCGATGAACCAGTAGATTTAAGTGAAAATAAAGTATTTTTACTATTTGTTATTTTATCTCGGACAAAGACATCGGAAATGTAAATATTTATTAATGAATGACCATGTAAATTTCAACAATGCGTTTTCATTTGTTTCAAACTGATCAGCACTACGTACCATATCAGGTATGTAAGTAGTGAAACAAATGCATAGGATTATTAGGGAAAAAAAACGCTCCATTTTTTTTTACTCTTATTCATTGCATTTTCATAATTCAAACAGGAATTGTTAATTACATGAAAATAAAGCCAAAAATCAAGCAAAAACCTCTTCATAATTCATAATAATACTTCTTCTATGCAGAGGGTTCACAGGGAAACAAAGTGCATCGCTGAGAATGGCAAGTCTGTAGATGCGATGAAGGTCTTCACGTTATCTATCAATTATATGAAGGAGCACTTATTTGATCTACTTCAAAATAAAACTGTTGGTGTTGAATTGACGATGGAGGACATTGACTTTGTCATCACGGTGCCTGCAATTTGGGATGACACAGCCAAGATGTTCATGCGAGTAGCAGCAGAAAGTGTAAGATTTGTATAATTTTTTGCTATCTTCATATCATGTCCTGTCATCCAACTAGTTACTGCATTGTAATTTGTTTTAGAACATGGTCTAATTTAAAAATTGCTATCGATTCTAACTTTAAAACAAGGGGCATGAATTCAAAGTTAAAGAAACTAAAGTTATTATTCATTCTGTTATAGCTTTTAACAAAGGAAGAAAAGATATTTGATAATAAGAACTATTTTCTTCCTATCTATATACCTGTTAATCAAATTCTTACATGAAAATTTGTTCATTTTTTTTAATGCTACATGTTTCCTTTTCTTTAACTTCCTATACTTTTTTCTTTAAAAATATATTCCCACTAAACAAACAATAAATTACATTTACATTACAATTAAGAAAATAATGAAGCGATTTTTACCTTAAAGTATTTTTTCACGTCGTTCTATTTATTAAACAATTATTTCGTGAAGAATTTTTATTACATACGATCCTATTATACATTTTATTTTTATATAGGTTGGTATCAAAAGAGAAAACTTAAAAATCGCCTTAGAACCTGAAGCTGCCTCTATCTATTGCCAGTTAATGCATTTGGAATCAGACGACAACAGTAAATTCTTTTTAGCAGGGCAAAAAGTCGGTGCAAAGTATATGGTGCTTGATCTTGGAGGTAAGAATAATGTTCATAAGATCATAAAATATATATATTTTTACAAAGTATTGTATAATTTTTGTCATAGTAAAAGTGTCTAATCCGACACTTATGCAGTCCAAACATTATTTCATTTCTCCCGATTCTACACACAGTGCAATCCAACACGTTGTCTATTCTGACACAATTTTTTGGTCTCAAGTACTAAAGAAAAATAGGCACAAAGAAACAATTAGTTCATTGATCAAATGAAGGAAAATAATAATTCTAAGAACACATACAAGCTCATACGTCTTACAAGATTAAATCGTGATACAATAGAGAAAGGCAATCATGTTAATCAGAGAATTATTAATTCATTATAGGTCCATAATTTGATCTGTCTATTGGTAAAATGGTGTTTGTACATGTATTTCCTGCCCATCTTATATCAAGTTTCGTAATAAATAAATCTCTGCTTTGTTCTTCTCAAAGACTATGACAAAATTGGCAAGACTGCTTTAAATAAAATGACCTAATTCTTAATCAATGTTTAAACCTCAAAATTTAGGTGGGACAGCAGATATCACCGTTCATCAGATGAAGGCAGATGGAACGTTAGCAGAATTGGTGCCAGCAAGTGGAGGTGCCTGGGGTGGAACATGTGTTGATCAAGCATTCGAAGATTTTCTTGTGGAGTTACTTGGCGAAGATGTCATAAAAATATTCAAAATGGATCCGGAATACGTTGAAGATTATTTTGATTTTTGGCAAACTTTTGAAATCAAAAAACGAAGTTTTGATACAAGCAACAAAGACACATTTCTTCTTCGTCTTCCTGTTGGACTCGCAGATATAGTGGCAAATAAATTAAACAAGAAAGGTGATAAAACAAAAGAAAACCAAGAGAAAATAACCTCAGAAATTAGTATGCAACAAGTTATTAAAAAATCAATATTTAAAGATGATCTGAAGTATGTACACGGAAAACTACAGATGAATTATTTCTTCTTTAAAAAAATGTTTGACCCTACTGTGAAATTACTTACAGACCATTTATCTAAACTTTCTAAAGATATAGGAAAGGATTTAAAGGTGATTCTCATGGTAGGAGGGTTTTCAGAGTGTAGCGTTGTCCAAGAAGCTGTAAGAGAGATCCTTAAAGATAAATGCAGAGTTGTGATTCCAAACGAAGCCGGCCTTGCTGTCCTGAAAGGAGCCGTCTATTTTGGACACCAACCCCATCTTATCTCGGAGCGTGTCGCGAGGTATACTTACGGAATCCAAACTTGGCCGAAATTTGATGAAAAGGTTCACTTGCAATCAAAGCGTGTCACGATGGGAGATGAGGAAAGATGCAGAGATGTGTTCTTCCGATTCGTTTCGAAAGGAGAAAAGATCAAACCGGGAGATAAAAAATCTTACATATTTAACGCCCTAAAACCTGGGGAAAGGGCGCTGGAATGTGGTGTATACATTTCAACCGAGGAAGACCCTCACTATGTTGATGAGAGGAGTTGTGTAAAGCTGGGGGTTCTTGAAGTTCCACTTCAAAGTGTTAGAGATAAAAAATTAGAACTAGAAGAGTCTTTGATTTTTGGTCACACTGAATTACAAGTAACAGCTTGCAATTGTCACAACAAGAAAGAATATAATGTTACTTTTGATTTGTTGTCTCCAAAAATCAATTTCCCTGATAAGTAAGAGATTTCTTTATGTCCCAATTATAAATGCCAGACATGTTTAATTGTTTTTGTTGTCAGCGACTCATGATCTGAGTTTCCATATCAGGGATGTGTTTTGGTAAGTACATTTATTTCAAAGTACATGGACATAAACTATTACTATTTCTTTGATATGTCATAAGTGTACCTATTGTCTTTTGTTTTCGTCCTTCAGCTTCTCACAATCCAATAACCGATTTTAGTTTTTTATTCAAAGAGTAAAAGTAAATTTACTTCTTTTTAAATGAAACGCAGCGGAGTTTGATGGAAGTGAATGTTTATCATATTTACTTAATATTATTCCTAAGATTGCTAAAAAGAAAAATGAATATGGTTCCACTGACATATTCAAGCAGGTAAAAGGATTATATATCTTCGTGTTGTTAAACTATTTTCTAGATAACCGTGTGCTCTATTTCTTTTCTGTGATATCAACGTATTTTATTTTACCAATTTATATATATATACATACTTTTTTATGAAATGGTATTGTTTTGTTATTTTATAAAACTTTGACAGTGTTAAATAGTACTCAGATGACCTTTGAATGATTTTGATTATCTCGTCAAAACTATTATTTAAATGCATTCATGGTCTTAATCAAGATATCAACCTTAAAATTACAAGTAATGATATTTTCTAAAATGGACAGCCCTCTGCAGTAGATGACATACTGACAAATTTCTTTTTTCAAACACCAACATGACCAAACTCTCATTAAAATATGGTAAAAGTTTTAAGCCCCTGTAGCAGACCGGTATTTTAGTAGCATGCTATAGGCATTAAATTTAACGCAACATACATTTGACTGTGATGTATTGAGGAGAGAGAGAGAGAGATTCGTACAAATATATATCCATTTATTCAGAATGATATAGGATTTAATTTGCGCCAAATTAATTTTCTCTGTTTCGTCATGATGTCAAATATTAAAGGTTTATCTGAAATACTTCAAAAGTTTTGCTCGTTAATTTCTTGGAAAAATAACTTGCATTTAAATAGAAATGATTCCTGAGTTTCAAAACATTATATCTGTTGGATTTCTATAATTAAATGAATGATAAAAACTTTTTTTTTAATGATATATGATATAATATCTGATTTTTTTTTGTAATGATATAAACAATTTAAATAAAGTGAAAAAATAGAAATATCACATTATTAAATTGTTATATGAGCTTATCACCACTTAACACAAAATGGCAATCTTTATCAAAAGTCCTGTGCTCTAAGAAATACATATGTATCGTGAAACTGATCACAGAGACGGGTTTATAGAGTCGGATTCAATTTCAATATTGTGTAAGGCCTCCAATTGCAGCAACTACAACAACATAATGGCGTCTCATGCTCCTTATAACCCTAACAAAAAATATAGTAATCTGTAGTATAATATAGTTTACTAGAGTTAACAATAGTTTACTATAGTTAAGCAAAGTTACAATAGTTAACTATAGATCACTATAGTAAATCTGAGTGTCAATGTTTTTGCCAAAGTTTTTCAAAGTGTTTAAGTTTTCGCCGAAGTTTTTTAAAGTGTCAAAGTTTTCGCCAAAGTTTTTCAAATTGTCAAATTTTTCGCCAAAGTTTTTCAAAATGTCAAAGTTTTTACCAAAGTTTTTCAAAGTGTCAAAGTTTTGGCCAAAGTTTTTTCGATAACGTTTTGAAAGTGTTAAAGATTTTGATAAAGTTTTAGAAGGTTTTCGATAATCTTTTTCAAAGTGTCAAAGTTTTCGATCAAGCATCAAGTTAAAGAAAAAAGAAGTATGTGTTTTATTACTCTTTTCTATATTGATTTTAAGTAGAAAAAAAGTAAGACAATTTTGAAAAATATTTTTGATAAAATTTTGAAACAATTTCTAAACTTATTTTGCTCAGTATATTTGATCAGGTACATTGTATGGTTATCTAGCTAAGACTATGCATTGATTTTTTTAACGTTAAGATACAGTAGCTGGAAAGCTTTACAAACGAAAACAAATTTTGTATTATATAAATACTGCATGTAGTTAAGATAAGATTTAAAATTTTCATCTCAGATATATAGTAATTGTCTAACGGAGTGCAGCAGTATATAATTAATAATGATTCATAATAACATTAAAATATGTTAATACCGTTAATTGTTTTTATCGGTTTTGAATGACATTGAAATAGCATGGACAAATCAACAAAAAGAAAGTTTTTAAAATACACGTTTACAAGAGGAAAACAAATTATATACTTCATCATATTAATTTATTCAAATGATTAGATTCTACTTATAGTGAACTGTTTTATCAGCTTTTAATTCACACTTTTTGGCACATCAAATTAATTCAAACACCCAGTGCATTAAAATGACACATTTAGTTCATACAGACTGTCTCAAGATGGTACGATGATATGCAAAGTAAAACTTACCAAAAGAAAGTATAACGAAGCAATCGAAATTTTACATTGCTAAAATAAAATATTATAAGAATTTATAGTCATTCTAAAGAAAATTATATAAAAAACTACAATAGACCTTTTGCTTTAAGTATTACATTTGATGAGTAATACTATATTGTACATTATATGTAAGAAATGCAAGTTCTACTGTATTGTTTTAAAGGGAAACATTTTACTAAGTATACAATAAATTAATGATTTATATGATCTTTTGGAGAACCCTATATATGACGGATGCAAAGTATTTATACAAAAAAGACAAAATGTGTTTGTGAAACACTGACAAACGTGACAAATATACTAAAGATTAAAGGTTTTCTAAATCCAAATTAACTATATTGGTACCCAAAGCAGGGTCTTCTGAATATAAATACAATTGTGAAGTTTAAAAGCCTTAGCAACACCTCAATAGTTATGGCAAATGATAAGTTATTGAAAGGTAGATAATGCTGGGTCATGGTCAAATGTGTTGATTTCTAAAGAAAGGTCTTGTCCCAAGGATTATTACATATGTGTAGTAATTATCAGTTTATCAAAAAGTAGTTCAAACTCCAACGTTATGGTCAAATGGACAAAATTGTGGTATCCAATGAAAGGTCTTGTCTAAAGTATTACAGATGGGAAGTACGAAAGCCATAGCCCTACCCATTCAAAAGCTTTGGTCAAAGTTAAAGGTTTTTAAAAGGTATGTCAAACTCCAAGGTCAAAGTTGTCAGAGTTAATCTCTGACCATGTCATTGTGTTCATTGTTTATGATTCTCAGTTTACTGCAAACTTTTCTCTTTGTAAATCCTTTATCTCTTCTGCGATTGTAAGACTCTTTTACAAACGGTGCTTGGCCGAATCGTCCATGCGTAAAATAGATAAAACCGGAAGAACAAGTTTTTTTTCTATATATACGTAACGAGTCACATGGTGTGGAGGACCCTTAAGAAAAAAAAATGTAAATGCAATGAACTCCCAAACTTGCTGAAAATTTATCTAGAGCAAAGGATTCCAGATTTACGGTAATGCGACTGACATGAGTTTTGCAAATAAATTCATGAATCATGAGAACATAGTATTTTACATAAAGAAGGAAAAAAACATTTACCTAACTGAAATATATTTAACCCTTACATTGACTAATCATACTATTCTGTTAAAAAAAAACTCGAACAATACAATATCCACTCCTACTCATTGCGTTTTAGCTCATCTAAGCCGAAGGCTCAATTGAACTTTCCTGATAAAAATTTGTCCGTTGTCTGTCTTGGCTGTCGTCGTCGTCTTTGTCATTGTTAACTTTTCACATTTTCATATCAAGAACCACAAGGCCAATTCAATCAAACTTGCCACAAAGTAATACATCTTTGGGCAAACGGAATTCCAGTTTATTCAAAAGAAGGGCTATGCCCTTGTCCAAAGGGAAATAATTATTATACCCCGGTATTTTTAGCGAAAAATTAAAGGCATCTTTTAAATTTCTTCTTCTCAAGAACCACTATGCCAGGAGTAATGAAACTCATGTTGAATCATTCCAAAGTAGTGCAGAATCAAGTTTCATTAAACCATGACCCAAGGGGTCATATTTATATAATTTTAATATAGATAATCTTGGCAAGATAAGAGATAAAACTTATCAAGGTGCGACAACAAATTGCCGGATAAACAACATATGAAAAAATATTTTCACAAACTTTACATAAAACGAAAGTTAAAATAACTTAACTAATGTGTAAATTATGGCACAGGAAAGATCGTTCCGAATTTTAGTGGCAGCAATTGATTTTGAGAAAACGTATTCGGGTTATGCCTACTCTTTCAAGTCCGCCTAGGCAAAAGTGGTGTTTAGTTAATGGGAATGGGGCCAGTTGTCGTTTACAAAGCACCAACTGCTCTTCTATTGAATTCAGACAAGTCTTTCAATTCCTTTGATTTTGAAGCGGAGAAAATGTATTCTAAAATTGCAACAGATGGTAATGAAGAAGGTCGCACTTGCAAGGAATATATTATTTCTTTCATAGTTTAAAAAGGATTCTGAAAACTACATTTACTAAGGTTTGTTTAAGTCATGAATTTGTGTTCACGTAATACAGCTTCTAGTTTACATGAGGACCTAGAGGGCATACAAATTCTGAATCCGTTTTTTACCAAGTAAAACCCAGAGATGTTTGTTTTAGCGCTCCATTTGTTTTTTCAAGAATGGAGAGTTGCAAATTACATTGGAAACAGAATTTGTCTCGTTGAATTTTTTCCTCCCCGTGCCTCTACCGAGGAAAGAACTTAAATTATTTTATCAATTTTAATTTCACACAGAAAATAAATGTGTCATTTCAGAGATTAGAGCCCGTCGGTACCCTCATCTTCATAGTCAGGTACTTACTTCACTGAGCTATTGAAGCTGTTAAATTGGTTCAAGAAAAAATCAAAAAAGAGTTTGAAAATAAGCGTTTGGTGATCCCCTATCAAGCAGGCATTGCTGTTTTGAAGGGGGCAACTGTCTATTCTCATGGTAGCATCCTAAGGTGCTGAAGATTAAAGTTTGTTCAAATTTTACCCCTTCTACCTTTTAAGAGTAGGTCGAGACCACTCATGCATTTAAGCTTTTTAGATTTGTTGCCCTTTTTCTTAGCCACAGTACTCATGTGAGCGATGTGGCATCTGGACCTCTTATTATATAGATAATCTTGGCAAGACTAGAGATAAAACTTATCAAGGTGCGACAACAAATTGCCGGATAAAAAACCTATGAAAAAATATTTTCACAAACTTTACATAAAACGAAAGTTAAAATAACTTAACTAATGTGTAAATTATGGCACAGGAAAGATCGTTCCGAATTTTAGTGGCAGCAATTAATTTTGGGAAAACGTATTCGGGTTATGCCTACTCTTTCAAATCCAACTGTGCAAAAGCGGTGTTTAGTAAATGGGAATGAGGCCATGAGCCTCCTGTTCTTTTTTTGCTTTCTTTTTATTCTTTGTGTGATTGTACCAAACATCTCCATTTATTTTCAACTTTCAAATGGGAAA